CCCCCTAAACCCCCCCCCCCTTAAAATGCGTTTTCCCTTTTTTGGAGGTCAAAAATGAAAAAACACTAAAAATTACCCCCATTAACAAATTTTCATTAATATTGATTGATAATAACATTGCCACAGTGTTAGAAAGACGATTTTTTTCCTCCAACTTCGGGGGGCCGTGGCCCCCAGGGAAAGCGTTTCTGGAAAAAAAAAGTTGCACCACGAAAACGTCTTTTCTTCATCCAAAGAATCGACTCCTTCAATATTCGTACTTAATCCTGGGACACCCTGTATGTGATCTAGAGACGAGATCCGCCACCACGCTGCGCTCGCCTCACGGTTTACGTTTTTAAGAAGCAATAATTATCGTCATGTAGAAGATGATGCAAAAAACTGATTCATAACGTGTAGCAGAATTAATACTGAGTAGAGTGACATCAGATTTTTTTTTCAGGCCATCTCATCCATAAATCACATAAAATCACCTTAAATGGGGGACATTCATAGAGGGAAGGGCAGGAGAGAGCGTTCCAGCGCAGGCGCGGGGTAACCTAAATCGGACCCTGGTCAAAATCTGGACCTTCACAAAAATGTATTAACGCGCCACGTGGTTTAATGAACTTACGGGAAGAGGAGGGGGGGATTGACACCAGTGGCGTGGCGTGAATGATCGATTATCGATATCTCATCATTTGAAGCTATGGTAAAGAATCGATTATTAAGGTGTTCGCTGCGAACACCCTGTTGATCGATCCTTTTTCATAGGTTTAAATGGCATAACAATCGATTTATCGCAAAGCACGCCACGCCACTGATTGACACCGGGATGTGAGCATACCTTTTTCAATGAGGAAGCGTAGTACACTTTCGCCCGGGTCCCTTCGAAGATCGGGGGCGTTATGACATTATGGCGGTATGTGTGACACGCTGACACGCACTAAAGGGGGCACCGGCATCCAACTCCCCCACCGCACAGTTGTCAAATCTTTTAGAAATTACTTAAATTTCTGGTGAATCAGAGCAAAACTGAACCGAATCACGTGAACCTGAATTTCTCTATGCCGAGTTCCATTGTGCTGTCTCGCCCCAGAGCAATGTTCGAAACTCGCAGGCGCCAACGCGCCAAATGCGCCTAAGAAATCGGTCATGGCGGCTAAAAAATGAAGGCTCTGCGCCAACGTGGCCCCTAAAAATTGCCCCTCCTCCCTCCAAAAAAAATCCCGATTAATCTGTTGGGTGGTTTTCGAAATTCCCCCCAAGTTACAGTCACTAGTTCTGTAACTAAAACATCTTGCGTCTAACTTTCCAATAAATGCGCCGTGATATACAGACGAAAAGTCAATTTGGCTCCGATAAAAAAAAATCTTCAATGGCCCCTAAAAATCAAGCTTGATGCGCCACATGGCTTCTGAAACTCAAAGGTGAGTTTCGAACACTGCCCCAGAGAGTATTGCGTGAAAAGATTAGGTGTTCAGCAGGCTGACCGTTGAAATTGATAGACAAAGAGGAAATAGGGAGTAAGTAGCAATCATATTGGTTGAAATGGGTGGTTCTTTTAGACTAAGGGGGTAAATGATGGACTGACCATAGGGTCTCTCGTGGGTGGCCGTCTATTACCTACCTCTTTTGTCCATTGCAACCACCCGCTTCCACCGATAGGATCTCTCCATATCCATTTTGCCTTATTTGTCTACAGCTTCGTCTATCAATTTCAACAACCAGCCCGCAAGGAGCGGACTTGGTGCCATACGAATCCTCCGGTGCGGTGGCGTTTGCGGACGTGGCGTTTGCGGATTCTCATATTTTGACGGTGGCGATTGCGGACATGCGGAACAGGGCCGGTGGACTTTGCGGACCAGAGAATTTCGGCGGTGGCGATTGCGGACGGAGGGGTAGGCACCTACATATGCTGCCCCCCACCCCTGCGCTGTATATTAAAGAGAAAAATTACCGGAGAGGCTCTGGATTCCTTGCCGTGGATGAAGAATGAAAACAATATTAGTATTAAACATTAGTATTATATTAGTA